GATGTTGGCGCATCTAGTACACTTAACGAAGCCAACCAAATAAGGCAAGGAAGCGGTATAGAGTCAAGAACACGACTAAAACCACCAACGTTTGACGGAAAGTCCTCATGGACCACACACCACAAGCAATTCGAGGTGGCTGCTAAGGCGAATAACTGGGCGCTTGAAGAAAAAGCCACTGCGTTGACCGTTGCGCTTCGTGGAGATGCATGTGACATTTTGAACAGCCTTTCCCCGGAAGAATTGGCGGATTATGAATAGTTAGTAAAACGGTTAGAGTTGCGATACGGCGAGGCTCATTTAACAGCGATGTATCTTATCCAACTGAAAACCCGTCAGCAGAAACCAACGGAATCCCTACAAGAATTCGAAGCCGATATTGCGAGACTGTCTCGACAGGCTTATCCTAATACTCCAGAAGAATTGATGGAGGCATTTACTGATGCACTTCGGGACAGTGACACTCAACAACGAATACGCCTTGGCCGACCTAAAACGCTAGCTGATGCATTGGTTCGTACATTGGAGTACGAAACTGTTAAACGGGCCTATAGCAAACAGGGAAGGGTTCGGCAACTGTGTGAAGAAACGGATTCGAATTTCTGCGAACTAGGTCATACGAGGAGGCAGTGTAGGAAAAGTACTCCGTCCCCGAGTACTCTACGTCAACAGCAGGTAAATTATGTTGAAATAAGTGGAGTAATTGACAGAGATTGTAGGAATCTAACCAGTGAGCAGAAATGCGAAGTGCAACATTTACTTTGTCAGAATGCCGACGTCTTTGAGACTGACAAGAATGTTAGGGAAAGGACCAATATCGTAAAACACAAGATCAATACCGGTAATGCGCAGTCTATTCGTCAAAAACCTAGGACGATTGCCCCTGGCCAAGAAGGAAGAAGCGGAGCGAATAATTCATGAAATGTAAGAGACTGGCATAATTGAGCCATCCTCAAGTTCATGGACATCACCGGTAGTATTGGTAAAGAAGAAAGATGGGACAGTTTTTATGTGGATTACCGACAACTCAACGATGTAACCAAGAAGGACAGTTATCCACTACCACGGATTGATGACATCTTGTATATGCTTTCTGGCTCGAAAATGTTTTCCACGCTCGATTTGAAGAGCGGATGCTGCTCGATCGGCACGGGCCTATGGCAGTTTACAATTATGCCTTTCGGGTTATGCAATGGCCCGGGGACGTTCGAAAGGTTGATGGAGAAAATCTTGAGTAATCAAATTGGAAAGACCTGCTTGGTATACTTGGATGACATCATAGTGATTGGAAGCACCTTTAATGAACACCTGTTGAATTTGCAAGCGGTTACATGAGGCTAATTTGAAACTCAGTCCAAAAAATGCCACCTTTTTCACGAAGAAGTTTCCTACTTGAGACATGTTGTATCAGCGAAGGGCGTGGCCGTGGATCCAGAGAAGATAAAGGCCGTGAAGTAATGGCTAGTGCCTGAAAATGTCCTCTACATAAGAAGCTTCTTGGGATTGTGCACGTATTATGGTTGCTATGTTTACGGATTCGCTAATATCGCGAAACCTTTGACACATTTAACCGAAAGTGACCGCAAATTTCATTGGAATTCGGATTGTCAAACGGCATTTGAGACTTTGAAGCAAGCTTTAATCACAGCCCCCGTATTGGTATATCCTCGGCCCAATGGAATGTTCATTTTTGACACCCACGCCAGCAGTGTGGGAATGGGAGCCGTTAATTTAGTTAAACCCACGAACATTACAGTATTTTAAGTAACATATCTATTACTTTTATTTTTATATAGGGTAAGTATCAATTATAGTTTTAATTTTATTTGTTAAAAAAGAAATTCATTAAATGGACTGGAATTTTTGGGGAATCGTTTTTTGGATCAGCAGTCCCCATTGTGCTTATGAGGTTAAAAATTTTTCGGATTGTTCTATCTCATCGTCATTTTAAATAATTTCAGTGTTTTATGGGATAACTTTTTGTTAGGAGAGTCAGAAAAACTGCACTTTGGTTTTGGTAAAGCGAATGTTGAATTCGTATTAGGTGTGTTTTCTATCGACGAAGATGGTTTAATAAATTCTGGCTTTGTTTTCTCTATGTAGGTATGATTTTACTTTATTTGAAATTTTAACTTTTATAATCGACAAATTTTTGATACTTCTCTCGTTCTTTTAATTGTTTGTTAGATTTATTAGTTTCATCCGCTTACATTAGAAACATACTCATCAATAATCCCAACTATAAAGAATAAAGGAAAATAAAAAAAAAGAAATTAAAAAGTAAACGACCTTGTCAAAACGATGGTTAAAATAAGTAGAAGTTGCACCTTCATGTGTCCAAGTAGAAAGCGTACAGACAGTGTCAGTTTTTGATGATTTCTTTAATCGCTGTCTCAGAACGAAATCCAATGAATAACACTGGCGAAAAAAACAATGAAACGTCTTACACTCCCCTTAGGCTTCCAACAGATAAAAGAATGTTCCTTTTTACACAAGATTAAGATTTTACATGATTTTTGCATTTACGCGAAAATCAGTTTTTATTTCTCATGGTTTTGTTATACGACGGAAAAATCAATCCTACCGACTGCGTCAATTCTGTTGCGGTGTATTTTTTAGTAGAACAGTTTTTATAAAAAACAGTTTTATATTAAATGCACAGAATGAATTTGTTACCCCCCTTCAACTTCTTAAGTAGTGATCTTCTGAAAATTGGAAATAGTGGTTTGTGTATGTTGAGTGTCAACGTTTTGTATCTATTGTTTTGTTATAGATTTTAGTTGAAATTTTGTAATTGGGATATTTAAAATAAGTTACTTTTACTTTATGACTATCTTATTTTGTTTACTTTACAAACAATTAATTTATTAGAGGTTTATAAGGTGTTTCTTAGGTACCTNTTGAGAAAAAACCAAAAAAACCCCAGTTAGTAATAAATTTTTGAGAATCATCAAACCGACATATTTTATCGTTGCTACCTCTGTTATCTGCCACAATCAAAGTTTCTTACAAGAAGTTGTTGGGCGTCTCATCAAAATGAAGCTACTGATGGAAAATTAGCTTGATAGTAGGGGAAAGTGGTCACCATTCGTACGCGAGGCACATTCGTACAGTTAGTATAACAGAAAAACTAAACGGCACACAAACACGTCTTTGCCTGTGTGCATAGACATACCAGCCGCCATGTTGCTAGCGGAGTGTCATGGCCGTCGCCGCACGGTGTATCGGCTGACAAGACGTAACGTGTTTTCGGGCGCAGTCAGTAATTTTTTTTCCTAAGTTTAATTCGCAATTATAAGTAGAATTGTTATGTTTTTGACAAAATGGTGATGATTAACTAATGTTAACATTGTTTATTTTGTGCTTTAATGGTCATATTACTCAAACTAAATTAGAATTTGTATAAAGTGGTATTTTAATTTTGTGGGTGTGCAGTGGAGTGCATTCGGACAGCCAAACAGGGGGCACATTCGTACATTCAAAAGAAAAAGAAAGCTAAGGAAATAGAGTGATGAAGATTCAGAGGATCCTGAAAGATCGCAATTTAGCTTGCGGGAGAGTTCAACATCTCCAATCGATTTCGAAATGGACGAAGAGACTGATGATCGATTATAAGAAATAGATATTTGTAAAACAATAATTTTCCGTTTTCCCAAATTTTTAGTTGTACTATCATTATTAGCAGTAATATTATTTTATAACATATCTTATTCGTATATCGGTGTTATTAATTGAATTATGACCTTTATTATGAAGATAAGTGGCCGGGCAGCCACGGATAGAGTTTGTCTTATTTGAGGCAGTATTGGTTTGACCAGGTCTGTCTACGGAACTGTTTTGCATATGCGGTATTCAAACACTTCTGTTTAGCACCTGTGTGGTGCGATAGTGTTGTTTTACCTGTGTGGTAATTTATGCATCTGTGTAAAGTCCCCGGCGTGCAAATCCCGTCCTCTTTGAGGGTGTGGTTCCTCCGGAGAAAGACATGTAGGTGAGGGGCCCTACATGCGCCCGGTTACATGATTTGGTGTTCTCTCACTAGCAGCTTCGATGGTGGATAGCGCTCCAGCGTAAGAATCTGGGATGCAACGCACAATTACATTTAGTTAACGAATATTTAATATTTTATAAATATAATTTTTATATGTGATAAGTCACTGGTTCTTAATTTAGTTATTAATTAAATTTATAAAGGTACAAGCTCTATGAGCTTATTGTTCCTTTCGCCATTAGTGTCTCCTCGCCTCAACTAAGCAAGCCTCCACCGCATCATTCATAAATAAACTGTAAATAATTAGAATTCGAGAATTAATCCCAGTATCATTTTCATTCGAATGCTAATAAGTGAGTATCGAAATCATCCGAGTATTTATATCACTAAAGCCTATGCCATATATCCCATATTACATAATAAAGCGTTATACTTCGCTGTAAGTGCATGTATATATATGTAATTTATAACGGTTATTTTTTTCCATTATGTATCCTAAATAACTGTAATTTTTCACCTTTTGTACTATTTTTCCTTTCCAACTTACGTATATCCTTCTTTTCTTTTCCCTTTCTACCTCTAGTCACCTTAAATTCTATGAACTTCCTGTTGTTAATATTCACCTGTGGTCTCTTCCTTCCCAAATGTCTTTCGAAAGCTAGCATCATCTTTCAAAATCCCATGGTTTTGTAGACGTTAGGGTAAAGTTAGGGTAAAATCATCCGCAAAAGATACTATCCAGATTTTTTTCTTCCCTGAACTATTCCCCCTTCCTTTTTTATCTCCTTCTCTAAATCGCCAGTAACTTAGCATACTACATGCAATCTCAAAATTGCTCAACAATAATATGCCAAGTGTCGAAAAACCGTTGCATAAACTCTGCGCCATTTGGTAAAGAATTCCGGTTGAAAATAGGTCTTATGACTTTTGAATGCAGTTTAATATTTCTATAACTTTAACTTTGTGGATTAATATTATTTTTCTTAACTAAGTTTTTCTTGTTTGATAGTAACTATGATTTTGTGGTTGTCGGAGGTGGAATTGTTGGAGTGGCAGCCGCACGGCAAATTTTACTTAAGAATCCTAAACTTAAAATTGCCGTTCTGGAAAAAGAAAACAAGTTAGCACAGCATCAAACAGGCCACAATAGTGGAGTTATTCATGCTGGCATTTATTACAAACCTGGCTCATTAAAAGCAAAGTTATGTGTTGAAGGGTTACATTTGTCTTATAAATATTGTGAAGAGAATAAAATTCCATTCAAAAAAGTTGGAAAGTTAATTGTAGCAACTAACAATATAGAAGTAGAAAGGCTTCTTGATTTGCAAGACAGAGGATTGAAAAACAATGTTCCGGGACTAGAACTATTAGAAAAAGATAGAATAAAAGAAGTTGAACCTAGCTGTGAAGGAGTCAAGGCCCTGTGGTCACCTGAAACTGGTATTGTTGATTGGGCTCTTGTAACTGAATTTTATGGAAAGGACGTAATGAAAATGAATGGCGATATAATATTAAAATTTAAGGTAAGTTTTTTCATTTGTTTTAATCTTTTAGAAAAGTCTAAAGGCTGTATAATTAATTATTCATTTATTCAATCTTTCACAAAAGTCTAAAGTCAATATAAAACATTTGTAATAACTCTTAATTGGTATAATGAAATTCTCGACAGTTGCACAATTATTTAACACTATACTCCGAAAGTTTATTTCACGATACACTCACATACAACTAATGGCACGCCGATTAGCAGGCAAACCTTGGTAGTCTAGTTCACAAGTTCAAAATAATGTTAATTTCTTATACCGATCGTAAAACTATAAGCGAGGGCTCCTTGTATGACAGTACGAAGTGGTGCTTAGAAAAAAGTTTTAAATTAGTACATAAACAATAGTAAAAGTATTACAAACGAATACAAACGAAATATTAACGAAACTAAAAATTTAAAACAAACCGTTAAAGATGTTTTTTACCGATTTTTCATTAATGAGCCCAATGTTTATTAACAATTTATTTATTTTAGTTCTAATACATTATTTAAAGTCGGATAATTAATAAATAAGTTACTAATATTATTTATTAAAATTAAATTAGTTACTAAAATATACTCAAACTGCCTGCTCTGGTCCGTTGTTGTTCTGAGTGGGGTAGCAAACCAAGCGATCGTGTTTTCATACAGGACAAGAGCTACACTTGTGGCTTCCTGATTAAGTAACGAGACAGTTTCCAGCCATCTTGTGTAGCGGTCTATCACTGTAAGGTAATATTGATGCCCTCCTGACGGTGGCATAATGATGATATCAAGATGGATATGTTCAAACATTTCCGATGGTAATGAGAATGTTTCCGTTTTCCCAGTTTAACAGTTGCGTTCGCTCCTAGATGCGATAAACGATGAACCGAGTTAAATGCAATTTTGCTTAATTTTAGAGGAATGAATGGACGAACGGTAGCAGTTGAAACGTCGGAAAAAAATCAACGTATCCGTTTCAGGAATTTGATTACGTTTCACGGAGTATCGGTCGACACGCGTTAGCGCATTCAGGGCACGATAATCACCACACGGGCGCCACTCGGCGTCGCCCGATGTATAACCGGGATAGCTGCGCGGGTTTACGCATTTCCTAGCGTTTGACGCCAAACCGATCGCGAAGTCGAAGAAAGCGAAATTGAGGGTGAAGGTCTACGGGAACGACGGGGCTGCACTGTTAAGCTTAATATTTCTTGCAGCGCCGATATCTTCTTCTCCAGGAGACCAAAGCGGTTGTTAATGGCAGATTCGATAGGTGCCATAAGCTTCTATAGAGGAAACGGCAATTTCGGCTCTTATCCAACGTGAGGTCTTTATGTCCCACTACTAGAATCGCTTGGACATATTTTGACAAACGACTTACCTAAAGTGTTTGAAGTACATCTTCGGGAACTCATTTTCAGCGAGATTCCGTAGGTGCCGTAAAAATTGCGTAAGTTTTCGGTCACCCAAGGGTTCATCATCTAGTAGTCTTCGCGTGTTGTGTTCGCGCGACAAACCCATTGGTTTAATTAATTCGGTTTTTAAAATTTCATACGATAATTCGTTTGGCGGTTTTAGTATAATGTCGTACACTTCTACTGCGTAGTTTTGGTCCAAACCACTCACCAGAAACTCGAATGAAGCAGCGAAACTACTTTAAAGTATCGAAAACCATAGTTCCGGATCTGCTGGTATAAATTGTGGCACTTTAACCGTTACACGATCGATGGAAGTGTCTGTCTGTGCGGTATCACTATGTCCAGTAGCCATGGTTAATTGTAGTTGCTCTAATTATTTTGTACACTTAAACACTATAAAAGTTGTTAAACTAACGGACGTTCCGAAAAAAAACTTACTTGCGTTTTCCGGTCGGGTTCACCAATTTGTGGGTGATAACGAACGATAAAGAAAACTCTTCATTGAAGAGAAAGATAGAGAATTTATTTACAGAATTGAAGATGAGTAAAAACGAAAAGAGAAATGTCTGTAGATTTTAATATAAGGAATGGCTTAGATAGACTGGTTTTTGAGGGTGCAAGAATTATGTAGCGAAGTGAAAAGTGAATTTGCACATGTGTTCAGCAGTATAGCTCTTGAACCAAGGAACCGTCAACTTTCGTTTCCAGAAATTTGTGTCGATCGGTTTTTGTTAGTATGAAATAGGATATTTTATGTGGGATAGGTAAGCTCGAAAGGCAGGAAGTCAGATACAGAAAAGAAACTGTTAATATGCTATTAGTAGAAAGACAGTTTGTTGGAATATTTACAAGTTGAAGAAATACAGAATTTATATATACATAGTATTACATATTATTTACAATGGTTATACATGTACAAAACAATTAAAATAATTAAATACATAGTAAAATAGACGAGGGTCGCCACAGTAATAAAACACTAGACATTTCCGTATCACCCATTTTTATTGCTTCTCTAGTATATTGTTGGATGACTTGATTACCAACAATAATTAGATGTCCTTGACGGTGTTACGTCTGACACCAGGGCAATTTTATTGAGACTCTGGACTCTTATTGGAATGTGTAGCGTAGTTACTCTTGATGATTAATCATAGGTTGCAAGATTCGCATTTCCACTTAAAGGGAAAATGGATCTTTAGTGTCGATCGATTAATGAATTGTCTCACCTCGATAGTAAGCACTTAATCCTAATGGGTTTCACTTTCACACAATTATTATTTGAGAATATCTGTTCACTGACTAATGATCGTAGTCACCTCGAAATGAACTATTAACGCTTTCAACTAACGAATATCTAACATTTAACTAATTAAATCGCCTTGTACTACGATTATTGAGTATCAACTTACAATCTTAACATTCAGCTAAGAACAGAAAATAGGCTGACCTTTACTGAAAAACTTTTAAACTTTTGGATGTTTAATTCCCACCAGTCACTGATGCAGGTAGGGTGGAAGGCCCTCATCAGCCTCCTTTCAGGAATCGTGAAAATGTATGGATGGTGGTTCGGGTGGGAAAGACGAAGCGGACGACATAAAGACAGAAGAGAGAGAATAAAAGATTATATGTGGAATATTACTGTCCCAGCATTTACCTAAGTGATCCAAGGAAGCAACAGAAAAACTTGGACCGAGGCAGACAGTCCGGAATAGAACCAGCATCCTCCCAAATGCTGAAAAATAGTCTAAACCTCTAGGCCATGACTCTCGGTACTTTTACTGAGCGATCATCCCCTTTTTTATACAAACTCTCATCTATACAATAATGGGGGGTGGCAATTAGTATGAAAGGGTTGATTTATCCCAACATATTTCATAGATTTTAATCATACAACAATAGGTTACATAATTTGCTATTTCTTCTTTGATGGCAAATATTCGTGTTGTTCATTTTACGTTTCCTGGAATTCCTTTGTTTTTGCACTTTCTCTATGAACTTTCCAAACTGCTTTAATGACACTTGAAAGGCTTCGTCGTCCAGTTCATTCATTAAAGTTATTAGTATATTTAATTATATTTCGCGGTCTTGATGCATTTCACTGTTCTTATTCTTCCGATTTACATTTTGTGGCATGTTGTAATTGTGGAGTCGTGTTCTTGTAATAACTTGGTGATATCTCCTGAAACAAAGTTATTGTATTTAACGTTGTTATAGATATATACCAAATACACATGCTTACATATGGTACCTTTTACTGAATACTGTTGACATTCACACTTACATACATACATGACTACAAATTTGGTAATCCTACAGAATTCTTGACAGCGATGTATACGTTCGATTGTTTTTATTTTTGCACTAAATTATCGTAATATTAAAATTACTGTGTAATCCATATTTGAGTGTAGTCACTTCAGTATGGTCGAACGTTTGAATAATACAGGCAGGCGCGGCAGATAATATGGGTGCGGTGGGTAGTTGTAACCATAAAAAAAATTCCGAGTGGGTATTTTACATACCCAGAATTTTAGGTCATTTTATAATTACGTACATGAATCATGAATATTATTGAATTTTTATGCCCTATATGGGCAGTTGGTATAGGAAAGACTGCTCTGTCATTACAGTGCCTATATTTTCTCTTTCCTCGGTGATACCTTGTATATGCAGCGCATGCTTGAGAAAAATCTTTAAATTATAACAGCAGTAGGCAACTAAGCACACAAAAGATACGGGGGCTCGAAGGATAAAGAACACGAGATACTTTAGCTGTTTCACTTTGTCGAAACAGCTTCCACTTATAGACACTGATGATGTAGGAGTATGACAGATAATCGACAAATTTTTGATACTTCTCTCGTTCTTTTAATTGTTTGTTAGATTTATTAGTTTCATCCGCTTACATTAGAAACATACTCATCAATANATGCTTGAGAAAAATCTTTAAATTATAACAGCAGTAGGCAACTAAGCACACAAAAGATACGGGGGCTCGAAGGATAAAGAACACGAGATACTTTAGCTGTTTCACTTTGTCGAAACAGCTTCCACTTATAGACACTGATGATGTAGGAGTATGACAGATACGGTTTGTATGCGTATTATATTTATTTTTTTTTAAATATTTTATGTATAAGTATTTCTTTTAAATTAGCCGTTTATAATTAATTTACAATTTTACCTTTATACTTATTATTTGATATAGTTTATCCAAACAAATTAGTGTGCACTTTGTTTCTGTTTTTTTGGTTTCTTAATAAAGTGAGCCTTAATGCGGTTGCCTTTAAGACTAACGAAGCGTCCCTCAAAAACAACAATCAACTTTGTAGAGTTCTAACTTTAACACCCTTACTCGGTTCTCAACTGATCCTGATGTAATGTATGTATGTTATATGCTCAAATTAAGGAAAAGTCTTGTTAAAAAAAAAATATTGAGCAAAGCTACAATACACACACGGTGTAAGACCTAGTCTACAGCTAGAGTGAAGCATGTTTATTATAACAAAGTTTATGTATGGTAAAATAAGCAAGGCTAAGCAAAATGTCTTATTATTATGTTTTATCCCTATATTACGTATTTAACATGTAT